TGAAACGATGGTCTTGTGCATAGTAAGAAGTGTTTCCAGAACCCAAGTTGACATAATGCAACACATGTTATCCAGTCTCAGCGGGCCTATGGCAGTCCCCCTCCCTGCTTACCCCGTTGGCAGCTGCCATCTGCACGATCACCTCGGTGGCAGCCCGGCTGAAGTAGCGGCCGTCGCTGCCCACCACCATGGTGCAGCCCTGCCGGTCCCGCAGGTCGATGGAGGACAGCAGGCTCTGGATGTAGTTCTGCAGGTAGTTCTTCTTCCCCTCGAACACCGCTGTCTTCCTCCGCAGCCCGTTGGTACCGGGCCGCTGGTCCTCGAAGGGGGCGGTTTGGACCGTCACCACCGGGATGGGACTCGTCTCCATCCTCCACCAGATGGGAGGACGTGGATTAAATAACCTGAAGTTGGTTATTGAAGTTTGCTTCTGGTGGTATTCGACCACTGAGTAAAAGTGGTCTTAGTTTGGAGAATAAACAGCACTTGAGGGTCCTGTCAGGCTGAAGGTGCAGTGTCCCAACCGAGGAGGGGTGACAGCTAGTCCCGCACAGGGATGGCAGGAAACAGCCAGCCAGCAAAATGTACTCACCTCGGCGACTTCTGTTGTAGCCTACAGAGCTACACCCCTCAGCACTGGACTGAACATCCACCACTCTCCTCTGCTGTCAGACCTCCCTCTTTTCCTAATAAGCCTGAACAACTGACTAAAGAAAAAAAAGAGCAGGGAGGGCCAGAACCTTAAGGCCCACAATCAGCTGAGCCCCATGGACCAAAATAGACATTTGACTGATGGCAGAGGGGAATTGTGTTGGAACCGGTCTGCAACCGGACACTGTTTGTGTCTGTGCTGTCCACACTGCCCGGTATAAAAGCATATAAGCCTGGCAGGCACATATAGGACTTTATAAGTATAGCATGACAACGCAATGAGCAAACCTGTACTTCCTGATAGTAAAGTTTTGAATTGTCACTGAAATTTAATTTGTTTCACATCTCCATCTCTACTGATTGAAGTTTATCTCCGTATCGTTTTAGTAGGCATATTCTTTTTAAATACAAAAGTGTAATCTGTGACATTGCATGTATTAGTTTGCAATCCCTTTACACGTCTGGGTTAGGCCATCACTGCAAGTATGAAGGACACTGTGTTGAAGCCAAAATATGGTAAACAGTGCCACCTTGTGACAGAAAGGAAGAAATAAAGTTCTCTTAAAAAAAATATTTTCCTTCCACAGCAAACAAGAAACCTAACAGATATTTGGTATCTATCATTTATAATTAAAAGATATTCTAGTATTAATTATATAGTTCTAATATAAAAGTGTGGGCTTTTATTGTTAAAATCAAGAGCAATAAATGCAGAAACAGTCTCTTAATCTTTATCAAATCAACAAGTGTCTTGGGGACATTAGTTTAGAGCTGGCATGACCCTTTTTAATCTGCTGGTTAGAAATGTTGTTTTACGTTAATTTTTTCAAGATGTTATCTCAATAGTTGAAACTCCATTACAACATTTTGATTGTGTTTTAACCAGGATTTTTGACCATTTTAATCATCTTTAAATATCAATAACAAATGACAGTATAAGTGAATATATCTGACTTGGAGAATATAGAATTATTGAGAGTTTGGACTTATATTACATATAATATTTTGGAGATAATGTAAAATTATGTCAGAGAATTTAACTTTCGTACATTGACAGTTTATGCATCATCTGAAGATACAATACATTTTTCACTACATGCTATGGAACACAATACTTATCAGGGGCTTTTCAAATGTATTAGACTGTTGTTATATTGTTGTTCTTACTTTTATATTTGGCATTGGCCTGACCCAAACAATGATGATGTAACTAAAATAGTGCTTTAAGTAACCAAAAAAGAGCATGAAACATCAGATATTTTACAGATATTTATTTTCACAAGTTAATTAATAACAAAAACACACAAAACGCTTTCCACTGCAGCATGTCTCACAAATATATTACCAACCATCTTATTAACAATTATTTCATTTAAGACATAACTTTGTCACATAAATATCATGCAATTAAAACATTTCTTTAAGAAACAATCTACACCAACTTGTCTTCACAAAGCATCTAACACACAGACACTGTGAAGGCTTCAGTGATGGTAAGAGAGTCTGAGGTGCTCGTTTCTCAAAGGAGCATTGCTCAGCATGGCAGGAGGACAGAATGGAGCCTGCATCAGCGTGGGGACTAAACGGGCAGCAGGGCCAGACATCAGGTGACCGTACCCGAGAGAGCTGCGAGGTGGATTCAGGTTCTGTGCACTGAAAGGAGAGGGCTTGCTCATGATGCTGTCAATGCTGAAGGAGCATTTTGCCTGCAGGCGAGGCTTTGGCTCAGCAGGGTCTGTGGAGCAAAGCTGAGCTCTGAAGTCTTTAGGCCCGTTGCTGTTCCCGTGACTGTTCAAAGTTTGTGGTAGAATGTGATAGGAAGAGGGAGGCATCATAATGCCCTCCTGCAGAGGCATATACCGGATAGGAGCAGCGGGTGGGGGGCTTACCTGGCCCTGTACGCAATACGGTTGCCCGTATGGCCGGTAGCAGTTCAAGTTGGAGTAAAAAATAAGTCCGTCTTTGCCAAACTCGGGCTGGTTTCTCTTGAAGCGCTTCCTGCGTCGAAGGAAGCTGCCGTTGTCGAACATGTCCTCTGAGGCAGGGTCCAGAGACCAGTAGTTACCTTTGCCCGGATTTCCGGGCTCCCTCGGGATCTTGATGAAACAGTCGTTGAGGGACAGGTTGTGCCGGATGGAGTTCTGCCATGCAGGGAACTTGTCTTTGTAGTAGGGGAACTTGTTGCTGATGAAGTCACAGATGCCACTGAGCGTCAGCTTCTTGACCGGGCTCTGCAGGATGGCCATGGTGATGAGGGCGATGTAGGAGTAAGGAGGCTTCACAGAGCTGCTCTGGGCTTTCCTGGACAGCGGGGCGTCTGCGCAGAAACTGTTCTCGCTTTCCCCCGAGGAGTCTGGCTCGGAAGAGTCAAATTCAGCACCAGATTCAGCCGAGGAACCGGGATCCGTAGAGCACTTGTTTCTATAAATACGCACACTGGTAGGCTCGTCCTCGCCCACTATATCAATCTCATCCTCTTCTAGAAGCGAAGTAGGGTGTTGTGGAGCCTCAAATTCACCGGAGAGAGTCATGTTCACACGCAGAGTGGTCAAAAACGCGTAAAAACTCTGTGCCAAAGCTGCATTAATGTTTCGCCGTGCGTAATACCAAAAGGCCTCTGATCATGCGTAAAAGCGCATGTATCATTTGGTTCTTCCTTAAACCTTGTTTACTGGCTGTTTGCTGTGATAAGAAGGGCTGAGGCTTTATATGAGGGGAAACTGCTGCCCTGCAGGCCAGTCCCATTAACCCTCTGGACCTATCAGAGGAGCCCCTCGCCGCGGGGAGCCAGAGGATGCGATCACACAGGTGGGGGGGCTTAGGGGGTCTTGAAGTGCATATGGCCTAAGAAAGCTCAACGTTTAGATTTCCTTATTTCATTTATGTGTTTTATTGAAATTGCCCAACGTTTAAAGTGAGTGCCATCACGAAATTACATAATATAAAACTAAATGTCCAATATTAAAAAACAATACTGAAATCTTACTTTTGATGTAATTTCTCAGCCTAAATAACCATCGATAAGTATGGGCTTTACACATAAAAATCACCACAGGTTTATTTTTGACTTATCTCTTTTTTCACTCCTGCAGCATACACAGTAGGTACCCATTCAGTGATTGTTGTCTAGCTCAAGCCACTTTGAGTCCGGTGTAGGCATTCTGTGTTGGGCATGCAATCGTTTATATGATACACAAACAAAAATCATTAAAAATATGTTAAAGTTCATTCTTGATATTTTAATCATCTGATATTACAAGTCTTACAGCATCACAGTCGGCGGTTGGATGCTCTTGGGAATTTTAACACCACGCCTAGCCACCGCTAAGAAATAAAGTGTTTCCCCCTCGGAACCCCCGCGGGTTCGTTTAGTTTGCCACCTCTGGATGCCCGTGGGTGGTGTGACCATGAAAATGGCCGTGGTGAGGCGTCCCGCAGGCAGGAGAGAAAAGAGGCAATAGTCGCCTTAACGAGGCCATCAGCATCAGAATCGAGTAGGAAACGGCTCAGCTGAACGCTGCGCTCTGGGCTACAGGGCTCAGCTCGGCTTTACGACCGGGATGAATGAGCTGAGCCATCCTCAAAGCAAACCGGTCCTACAGCGGATATGTGCTAAAACCGTGCTGCTAAACCATCTCCATTGCAAATGACTACGTTGTGAAAACTCCACCTATTTCCTCACCTTACTGCGCCTACTGTGTGAGAGATGGCTCTCACATGACTGCATACCAATAAAGCCCAAAGTAACAAATACCCGAATGGCTGTGATTTGTCAAGTATCACAAGCACCAACTTAATTCAATCTGAAATTCTACATTTAGTCTTAAGTGAAGCAGAGTTGATGCTTAGAAAGTACTAATTGCAAGAAAACTACATTATTATAGGTACAAATTAAGAATAGTTTTTAATGAAGGTCTCATTATAGGGGAAGCTGAATACAGTAAACGAACCAACCAGTTTATCTGTATATGAAAACAATACAGGTTTGCATGGTAACCTTTTAGGCATAATAATTAAAGCTACTACATTTTACGCATTTTTAGAAAACTTAATTTGTGAAACATGTCTTGACCTACAATAGTTGAGTCACAAGTGTTAAAATAACAAGGCTTGCTGATTGGATGCAGAAGTTGAAAACTCTGTAAAAGTTTGATAATAAAAGCTAAGATGTTAACGCTCTTAAGGCCTTTTCACACTCTGTTGAGTATCATCGTGAACTTACCACTTTAAAACAAAGGCACTTTGTGTCTGTTGTTATGTTAATAGTCTGCTGTTGTCACCTAGAACTAGTCATTTTACAAATAGCTTGAATATTTATTGGGTTAAGGTTGATCAGAAAAGACTTAGAATATGTTCAGAAAAAACAACTTTATTTTGATATATAATAATTTAAGAATACAAGATGTTAGAGGCCAGAATTGTAAGCAGGCCTATTTGTTTACAAGGTACAGTGTTGTATAACCCATGATAGAGTGTGTACATCACTTTTCAACTTCATAAACTATTTGGTCACCCAACTGAACCTTTGTCGCATCTTTTTGTGGTCAAGTGTACGTTGCGAGGGTGCCACAAAGCACTACACACATACACACTGTTTATGTCGCTTTAAAGCAGGCAGTGGCAGATTACCCCAATGTGAAACTGTTTTCATCACTGCAGTCACATTAACCGTCCTCTGACGTACCTCGGGTTCTTGTAGGAAAGGAGTGAAAGTCTCAAACACAGTCCAAGAATTATGGATGGTCAAAGCCACGACATTTGCTTCAGAATCATCAGTTTTCGAAGCAAAGAGGAGAAAAGAGTTTGTAGCTAATTTGCGTTTGCTCCTTCCAACACTTTAGAAATGAACTGTTCCTGCAGAATGTCCTTGTCCAGGTTCCGACCTGCAGGACACAAACATCAGCATTGATATAGCATGGCTACACATAAACAGGCACACTTAGGTATTATAGTAATAGACTCAAGTGTGGGCATGTGGACTTCCCAAGGCAGTACAACACAAAAGACAAAATGGGTAAGGCTTTATTTTATGGGTTTGTGATTTCCTTAACATTTCAAATACATTTTCTATAAAGAACATGTCAATGTTATTTAAGAGTTGAATTACATGTGTTGATTTCCAGAGATCCTCCTAAATTAAAGGTCAATAGATACCCAGGGACATTTGTTTTTACTGGAAACATAGCCCCTTCATTTTTGTAATTGTTGTACATTTTTACAGGTTAAGCTGACCAACGTTGAGCAAAGTACAAGGCTCAACTGAACACTGTCTTTATTTTTCTAAAATCATTTATACCAGATAATTTACTGGGATGTTTTAAGTAATTGTGGAACAATAAAATGAAACTATCATGCTTGCCAAGAACTTACTGAAATATATGCTAGAATCAAGAAACAAGTTAACTGAGAATTTCTAAATAAAAGTGGTGTGTAAGAAATGTGTAACAATGCACACGTGAAAGAAGTGTGTGTGTGTGTGTGTGTGTGTGTGTGTGTGTGTGTGTGTGTGTGTGTGTGTGTGTGTGTGTGTGTGTGTGTGTGTGTGTGTGTGTGTGTGTGTGTGTGTGTGTGTGTGTGTGTGTGTGTGTGTGTGTGTGTGTGTGTGTGTGTGTGTGTGTGTGTGTGTGTGTGTGTGTGTGTGTGTGTGTGTGTGTGTGTGTGTGTGTGTGTGTGTGTGTGTGTGTGTGTGTGTGTGTGTGTCTTCACCTATAAAGACCAGTCTGTTGATCCGCAGGTTCTCCTCCCAGAGCTGGGGAGTCTCATTCAGGTCATACAGCTCGTGGACCCCCTGCAGCATCACTTGGTGGGCTTTACCTGCAAATGATACTATACCCTGAAACACACAAGTCACAAGTCACGAGTTACACATTAACAGAAACTAAATGAAGCGGTTGGAACTGATTAATACAGATAATAAAGGGGCAGTTATTGATCACTGCTGCACCGGGGGAGACTATTGTGCCTTACTGTACCTTCAACCGAATGACAGTCATGGGTTGCCCTTCTTTGTTTTTAAACATCTTTTCCCAAAGGAGATCCTGAAACGGTGAAAATGGGTGTTTACTTTACAGAGGGCTGCATTGTGATAGAGCTAATTAGTAATGGCAACAGAAATACCAACTGGAGGGTACCTGGATGTAAATGTTTAAGGCGTCCTCACAGAGATCTCCAGCCACTTCAAACGTCACAGTTAAAATACTCTGAGGATGACATTAAATAAAACATGAAAGTGTAATCCAATATATATATAACTAATTGTATTGACACATTTGAACATTTTATGGTTTTGAAGATATTTTTCTTTCTTTCTGAAACTTAATTTCTATATTTTAATTTCAAAGAGATACAGATAAATTACCCTTTTTGTGAAATTAAATTAGAAGGAAATTCACATAGACAGGCTTTGATGCAGCAGGGACTTATTTATCTCTAATACAAAATAGCACATTTAAAGCAAATACGTATTATCAGTCAAATACAAATTAATTAATTTAAAGAAAAATAGGTACTCATTAGGCACAATGGACAATTCAAAGTGTATATTTGTCATGTATTAATATACATATTCTTTCCTTGATTCATTATCATGAATGCAGATTTAAATGTTGTCAAGGTGGAGATAATTTCGACAACTTTGTATATGTTTATATATGTTTTATGTAGAACAATATCTCCCTCTTAAATGTAATGTAATTAAATAAAATGGAAAAGCCCAAGTAAAGTAGCACAAATGCACCTAAGATAAATACTTGGACAGTTATACACACTGCTTTTACGTGTTGAGATCCTTTTTTGCAGTCTGTAATTCAGAGTTAAAGTTCACTGATGGCATTTATTTAAAATATTTTAACATACATTTGCAGTTTACCGAAACCTGCAAAGTCATTATGACCGTTAAACAAAAGAAGTGTTTTTACGCCCCGGCTGATGACTTTGTCAATGAGCGTGTCAAAAACCACAACTCTACTTGGCACCTGAAACCACTCTTTATCTGACACACACACACACACACACACACACACACACACACACACACACACACACACACACACACACACACACACACACACACACACACACACACACACACACACACACACACACACACACACACACACACACACACACACACACACACACACACACACACACACACACACACACACACACACACACACACACACACACACACACACACACACCACACACACACACACACACACACACCACACACACACACACACACACACACACACACACACACACACACACACACACACACACACACACACCACACACACACACACAGTAGATATTTGGGGTTTTGTGTTGAAGTGTTAAGGTTACACACTTCCTTGTCATTTGGTATAACAACAGAAAAACAGCATTCTCATTTACATGAAAAGAGCAACACGGGGAAGAGGAGGGGGGAGAAAGGGGGAGGGTCTGAGGGACGGTTGAGCCTCATGCGGGAAAGGGAACTTGGAGAAAACAGACAACAATGCCGTTATTTACCCACACAAACAACCCTCATCTCTCCTCATCCTGTGATAAAAGGTCATGGGGATAAAGCACAAGATGAGGCCTAATTGCTGCGAGCACTCATTTGGTTTTAAGCCAGATGAAACATCAAGATAAATGGCATGATCCTGGAATAATCCTGGAATAAGTATGTTTCATTGTTTACATCTTCAATGAAAAGAACAATATATAAAGTGAAACACAAGAAGTTTCCAATTTATATCTAAATTCAAATTCAAATCTTAAGCAAGGTACTGAATTTTATGACATCTGGATTTAGATCAAACAAGTGTCGAGTCATAACATGCAGCCAAGGCTCTCGTCAGTCTAGCCAACACAATCTGCCCAGTCTACTGAAAGTCTTGCTGTGTAGGACCGAGACTGGGTCTATTTGCAGTGGGACAAGAAAACATCAAAAGCCTCAAGTGGATCTCAACACAAAAACCAAAGCAGGGAGGGAGTTTTCACTACAGTGTCACAGCCTGGGGGAATGCAAGGCACAATGTTAGCCTCAGGAGAATGCATACCCTTTATCCTGTAGGAAATGATGTGTTGAAATAAATTAGCAAACAAAACAAGGAGAAATATAAGACATGCATAGAGGTAGGTTTCGGCAGTTAATGAATAAAATGAAAACAATACCTTGTCAAGATGTGGTCTTGAATCTTTCACAAGTTGGAGCTTCTCAGCCAGACTTTAAGAGAGAAATGATAAAATAAATTATTTATTTTGTCCAATATGATAAACTATTTCAAGCTGAAAGGACAGATCACTACATTGCATTTATTACCTTAACTACATTTAGCCATATCATCTCTTATCACAACTGTTAGCTCTAACACCAGGCTAATCTTTGCACATTAGACGACGTGGGACATTTCAGAGCTACATTTTGGGACATTTCCATTTTTTTATAATTTTCTGAGCTGAATTAACATTATTTGTTAAAAAATGGGTTGACATAATAATTAAGTACATTTAACATTATCATCATTCTTCAATATCCCTGCATATCTCTTTACTCTATTATGGCTGCTGACACTTAGGGGTATTTTTAAATGTTTAGTTATTGTCTGAGCATTTATTCCATCATATCTGCTCCATAAATAACAATCTAAAATAATGATTTTAAAGTGGCATAAACGGATTACATGACTTATTTTGAGTTTTCTATCTTATGTTCATTGCTGTCTATCATGAAAAAAAGATAATTAACGTCACAGAGGCTTAACTGGTTAAATTGAGGGATCATGTAACAATGTTCTTTTTCTTCTCCGCTTGTCTATACAGTTTTGTCTTTGAGTTTTGTCTCACAGAATGAAATCCCTACTGGGAGCTGTATCAGTGCTTAATGACACAACACTGAATGGACTTGTGAAAACTTTAGAAATGGCAATTAAATCCTACAAAACACCAACCACCACCTCCAAACAAACTACTGGCCTTTTTCTACCCATCAGACCTCCTCATCCTCCCCCTTCTCCCTGACCTCACAAGGAGGCTAAATGTTGTGTCCAGCAGCTTGAGCCCTGTGTGCTGTTAGTACCACACAGGCGGAGCGGCGGGGGGCCGCTTCAAACAGCCAGCGTGGGATGGAGGGGAGGAGGGGCCTGGACTCTCAAAGGCAGGGGGAAAGGAGCTATCTGTTGGGACAAGGGGACTCCTCGGGAGCCAGTGGACACACACAGCTCTAATCCTCTGCAGCTGGGCTCAGAGACACTGACCGAGAGCATGTAAGAGAGCTTTAACACCGCGGCCCGTTTCATTCACATGAAAGGATGAACACTGACGCTATTCATGAGAATGACATTCTGCAGGGAATACAATATGATGACCACCCTGCGGTGTAACAGGGGATTGCTCAATAAAAGAGTGTGTTAATTAGAGGGAAACATGATGAGCAACAGTATCAAAGACTGCTGGGTACACAGTTCAGACAGAAGAGCAACAAAGGCAAAAAAAATGCAGTCCAAATAAGTTCTTGATCCGTTACTGTAAGTTTGAAATAGAACACGTTGGGTACTCTACATATTATCAGCAGACACATTGGTTCGGGTATGTCAACAAGAAGTTTCAGTGTAGAAATGCCAAAAATATATTCAAACAGTATAGCAATTAAATATGTCGTCCCCTAGAGAGCACCTACACATGTAATATATCAGCTGCGACATGTCCTGCTACGTACATATGTTTTAACACATTTTCTCAGTCACATTTAGTGTAGTCATATTAAAAAATGTTAAATACAATATATAAGTGCCTTTTCTTATTTTGCTTCCTCTTCCTTCTGAAGTTAGTTGATCATAAAGTTTTTGCCTTTTTTCAAGAAATATGTTGTAATTAATAAGCACTGTCACTATAACATCAATGTCAAGGCATTCTTATATTTATATAAGCTGTAAAATGTTCCATATAATTAACCAAATGTTAGTGATCCTAAAACTTGTTTTGTGACTTATCAGCTGTTGTGTTTTTGTCACTCAAAAAAAATCTTAGTTAGTTTTTGTTTTTAGTCGTACATTTCTTAACCAAACAATTATATATTTTTCTGAATAAAGAAATGTTGTGTACATAAAACTTGAATGGGATAAAACCAACTCACTGCGCTCCATTCGTGCTGTCGAAGGAGTGCAGATCCAATACTTCAGAAAGATCGACCCTGTGAAAGAAGATCTGGTTATAAGGTTATGTTGGCATAAACTAACATCAAGGCTAACCGGGTGAACTGGCTCAAGCTAAAAGTTGTGGGAATGTTTTTCCGATTAACCCCTCACTGCACGGCGTCTTTCATCTGTTCACCCTGGTCTGAACTCTGTGGGGGGGCACATCAGACCCGAAACACACCCAGACCTTTCATACACACTGCTTGTGTTAGCCAGATGCTACCTGGGACCAATAACACAACATGCTAACACATAAGGCCAACACACACACATGTTGGCACGCACACACATATGCAACCATGTCTACTTGAGACCAAGGGTCAAAGAGCAAAGATTTGTGGGTAACTGAACACCATTGAAGGTTTGGTGTTTATTCAGGGTGCAGCAGTTTGCGTGTGTGTGTGTGTGTGTGTGTGTGTGTGTGTGTGTGTGTGTGTGTGTGTGTGTGTGTGTGTGTGTGTGTGTGTGTGTGTGTGTGTGTCTCGGGGTTTTCCTAAGCAATGTCACGCCTGAACAGTTTCAACTTTGATATGAAGATCTGAGCAGGAGCAGCACGTGGAGTTCATCTGGTACACCAAACAAAGCAGGAAATCTGGTACAAAGCCATATACAAAAACAATCTTACTTTGGTCTGAAAAACGTACCTCGACTTCTGGCTCTCTAGAATCTTGACAAGACCATTAACAGACCTGAAGAGAAAGGGAAATAAAGTCCAATCTTTTTATAATTGGCGAAACGGACCAATTATCTTTTACCCTAAGCCCCTACCACTTTGTTTTAGGCCCTTGTCAAGGAGGCAAAATGTACCGTTTCCAAATGTTACATAAGGATCTCAAATATAACATCAACAGAATACTCCTAGAAAAAAAGAGAATATAAGAAGTCTGTGAAGCTGACCTGACCGCCTCTCGTATTTGGGCAAGTTCCTCCTCATTCACCAGGTCTGTCTTGTTGATGATGGTGAGGTCAGCCACAGCAATCTGCCTACAAATAATGCAACACAATATTGTTTCCATTTGGAAAGTGACACAATTCACAGGACAGAAACGTCAAGAATCACACAAAATGAAGATACTCTGTGTACGTATTTTCATGGGTGGCAGTGGGGAGCCGAGCGCTGTTTAGTTTAGAGGTGAAAACACAAACAAAGACCAAGAATGCAAAGGGTCATGCAACTGGTCTGTCTTCATCAGGGTATTTGTTCAACAACAACAGCACACAGCTGCAGGAAGAGACAAACAGACAGACGCCCAGGGAGACAGACAGGCGGACGGCAAGGCTCTGGTCAACAGCACGTTATGAGAGAGAGTGTGGTGGACACCGAGTATTTGGTAGGAATAGTTTAGACACACACACTTAATCACTCTACTGCGAGAAATCACCACTTTCATGTCCATACAGCACATGTAAAGCTTGTACCAGCATAAAGTTCAGTATTCAAAATGTTATATCATGTGTGTTTAATCCTTTGAAAATGTATTTATTTAAATAACAGCAATGTGATTTCTCTTTGAATAATTAGTTTGATAGTTTCTTTGTTTTCTTACAAACGAAACATTAGCAAACATACCTGGCTGCTTCATTGACGAGTCCATCTGCTTTCTCCTCTGTTAGTTGCTAGAGAAAGCAGAGCAGGTGGCAATAACTCACAAATGCATTCAGAAAATGAAAGGACAACTTCTACATTTTAAACTTTAGGCAAAAAAAAACAGCCGAAAAAAAGGTGACAAATAAATTGGTAAAAGAATGACTTGTCTTTAATCTTTGTAAACTAAGAGACTTTCTCAACACAAATCCACAGGAGATCGCCTTTTCATTTTCTGCTTGTGTCTTGGCTTACACCAGGGATGCAGGCGGCATTTTCCAAAACAGTTTAATATGTAATAACAGAGAGAGCAGGAGGTGTTAATCTGGATCGTGACCCCTGAGTGTCACACTGACATTTATCTGTCACCACATGCATCACCACCGCTTTATATCCGAAGGAATGAATGACACAAATGTATTAAAAAAACATAATAGCATGGCCAGTTCCTGCTTTTTTTATTTAAAAACCTCTGTACCAAGAGACAAAAGCCCTTCGGAGGGTGTGAAGTTTAGAGGCGCAGGCTAACTTGAAGCCCTTCGGACAGATGGAGATTTTATGGGACAGATGAGGGGGGGGGATGCAGGTGAGTAAATGTGACAGTCCTATTACAATGGTCACATGCATCTCTGATATCAATTACTCTTTCACTATCAGTTATCCTCCCCTTCCTTCTGTCATTCTTCCCTTTATCTTGCCACTCTCCAATGAGAAGACAGAACAGCCCCTATAGGCTAAGAAATGTGTCACCTCACAGAGTATGACACCTTGAAATTAGAGCCCATTATCTAGGTGTCACTTGTCCCGTTTCTTTTATATACCACGGGGAGGGCAGGATGTGTGTGTATGTGTGTGTGTGTGTGTGTGTGTGTGTGTGTGTGTGTATGTGTGTGTGTGTGTGTGTGTGTGTGTGTGTGTGTGTGTGTGTGTGTGTGGTGGCTATGCACTGGGGGTTTACAAACTATCTCACTAGAAACTAGTTTTACAGCTTATATTTTAAGTTAAAATAAGCACAAGGTTTTTAGAAATGGCTCAGCAGCAAATAATACTGGTGGTTTAATGCAACAAGAAAAGTCGGGCTGCAACAAATTATTGTTTTCAATACTAAATAGTGTTGATTAATGGATTCATTAAAGAAACTATTACATTCGCAATGTACCACAGTCCAAGGCTACAACTTTAAAGTGCTTGGTATGTCTGGCTCACTGTCCAAAGTCCAAATATATTACATTTTGTAGTATTTTGAGAAGCTGCTATGAGCAACTGTTGAGCATGTTTGCCTGATAAATGTCTTCACTCATTTACCAACTCTCAAAAATGTTGTCGTTTGATGTTCTTTTGATTTTATCCCGCACTAAAGAGGACTTTTGCTGATAAATAAGAAGCATCTTGAACATTTTGCACATACCTTCAGTCCATACTTGGCGTCGATGACTGTGACAATGCCTAGAATGAACAAAGTAAAAATAAAGTGATCAGAGAATCAAATGTAGAGCCACAACTGCGCAGCCTTGTCCAATTTGCCTTTTGGTGTTTAGTTTTGTCCTTTTGTCTGAAGCACTTTCTCTGAGTTACTTGAAGTACACTTTTGGTCTGCTAGCCTGTCACAACAGAGCAGACAGCTGAGTATTTGGTTTGAGGAGAGAGACGCCATTCATGCTACACAAAAAAACAGAAATACAAACAAGAAAATATGTCACCTCCTACAAACTAGACAAGGAAATATCTCTTGAATACTTGACTATAGCTGGAGCTCTAACTGTTTTAAAATGTGCAATTTTCTTGAAAGCACCATGCCCGCTGGTTTAGATCTGGAGTATAACATTTGAGTAGTAGACATTTTGAACCTATTTGACATATAAGTGTTACATATTTATTGTTTTAAATGGCAGCACCTAAATGTACTTCTCTTCTTAATTTAATCCAGTAAAACCACTAATGTGAGGTGTAATGTTTAAAACACTAGACAAGTAGATTTAAAGTATTCCCACCACCCAGTTTACTGCATGGTGGACAAAGACACTCTGTCATTGTAAATATCTTACCATCCAAATAGATGTCACTGCCAAGCTCTGCATCGACCCAGAACATGGAGGCCACAGCTCCTGCAGGAGGATATGAACTGGTATGTTACATTGTAAATGGCTGAAATGCACACAAACATACAAATTACATTTTTTTTTAAATGTCAGGCAGAAAGGGGTTCTTTCCGTAAGTAAATAGAGACTATCTTCTTCCTTTTTGGCTTTCCCTCTTATAAATGTAATTTACTCTAATGCAAGTTATTTTATATTTTTCCATTTTGTCTTCAAAAAAATAAAGAGAACAGGAAAAAACATTCAGTCCCCTGGGATGCTACATGGGGTTCACTGTGGTTGAAAAGACAGCACATTAAATATTACACAATAATATATTTGTTGCTACATTTTACTTGATAATTTTTATTACGGTGTAAAAGATTTTTTGTTTTATATTAGATTTCTTGTTTTTTAATATTTTATGTATGCACCATGACATCAAGTCAAATTCCTAGTATGTGCGAACCTACCTGGCAATAAACCTGTTTCTGATTCTGATTCTGAAATAGGAATAATCTTATCATTACGACATAAAGTGAAACAACTATTTTCAATTAGATCCACATTTAAGTTTTTGTGTTTAAAGTCAGAAACACTGTGTGCACTTCCTGCTGTCTGAGCTCTGTGAAGCAGAAACAACCAATATCAGAAGCTTTCAATTGTTAATCTCCTGCTGGTACGTTTGGTTTGTTTCTATTTTCCTATGAATATGGTTTTTATAAGACCCTATGTTACCATGCCAGCCACAGCTTGTTCACATAATGCACTTTTGTCAAACTGCCAACCGAGAATAAGAAAGCATTGTAAATATTTGATAGATGTGTAATGAAAACACTGTTTTTGAGTGGCATGTTTCACATAACTCATTCTAAAAAGAAAAAGGAGAATCCCTCGGGAGCCTTTATGATTGACAGCACAGCCACAGCCAATGACAGACCTGTCCTCGTCAATAACGAGTCTGTCTCAGCCAATGACACGGCGGAGGAGTGAGGACAGCCCGGTCTGAGCGTGCTCTGTTGGTTCTGTCTGTGAGGCCGAGTGGTGTGTGTCGCTACCTCCTGACACCTGTCACTAAGCAACACACCCCGGTTGTCACAGCGCTATTGATTTCCTGATTCAGAGCTCAGAGCTGAACGGACAGCTAGGGGTTTTCTGGCTGCCCTGAGGAAAATAGGCTCTTTGGATGCTCCTGTCACAGCTACACAAGCCTGGTCCTCAGAGTTGGAAACATGTTTCACTTCTGGAAGAAATATCCAGGGGTTTATCCTTCATTAAGATAGATACATAGAAAAAGGGATCTATGAGGCATCTTTAGATATGTATGTGGACCAGGAGTGTCAAGTCGTTCTCAGTGGATAAGAGAAAGAGGCAGCACTCTTTATTGTTTTTTAAATAAAGAGTGCTGAAACTTGAGCTTGTATTGCTTGTAGTAACTAAATAAGAAATGAGAAATACTAAGAACGTTTTAGAAAAAAGTGTTTATTTGTGAAAGTTTGGCGTGAGTAACTTTTACCTTATGTCTTAGGTTTGTCTTTTAATTGAATTCAACTTTATTTTGTGTGTTTTCATTTGCAATCAGTTGATATAACTTTTACAAATATATATTTATATATAAATACTCATAATCTTATACACACTTTACTACTTTAGACTCCACAAATCAAAATCCAATTGAGTCGTGAGACACTGAAACACACCCTACTGTTAATACCAATCCTCAGGTGGTATAAAGCTTTAAAAAAGTATTTCCTACTCATTGCATTTTTTGCATTAAGCAGATGTAGCTGTCCCCTCATTGCATTTCGCCAACACAAGACACAAGTCTCCTCTTAGTGAACCTTTAACCTTTAAAGTGACTTTTTAACAGAAGGGAAACAAATGTCTAGTTGCTCTGCCAGCCAGAGCTTAAAAAATATACGGCTAATCTAATGATCAAACAGAGATTTGTATGATAAATGCTCGCATTTTAACTTTTCAGAATGTGTAGTACCTGGATCAGCGAGTCCAGTGGTTTCCAGCAGGATGTAGTCAAACTTTCCTTTCTTCTCCATTAGGTTCTCGATGGCTTTAAGACCATTGTCCCTAAATCATTAGGTAGAAGACCATAATGAATAAAATGGCTTATGTAGGACTTTAGAACAAAATGTCAGCAAAAGAGACAAGCTTGGTTGTGTAGAGGCAACCAAGTACAAACTGTAATCTAATGAAAAGATTGGTTGAGTTGTAAGAACTGGTCTCTTGATATATCATACCTCAAGAAAATAATCAAAAACAATATTATAACGCACTCATTAGCTTAGCAGTTCATAAATGTATGTTAAAAGGTCAGACATTAGCTTAAGAATTCAAACTGAATGAATATATTTGAAACAAAAGGCAAAACAAGTTCAATCTTTAATTTCTGTTTTAAAAAAAACTCCAAATGGACTCTAGTCACTGTACATACTTGACAGAGCAGCAGAGGCAGCCGTTTCTCAGTTCCAGCCACTCCTCGTACAGCTCTCCTGCCTGACTCACTGCGAGCGACTTCTCCAGGGCGCTGCCTGCAGGTGGAGGATGAGAAAAGGTCAATCCAAATACAATTAGCTGATAAAAAATGGTCTATCTACCAGGTATACAATATTGCTGTTTATTTTTGCACAAATAGCTATTTCAGAAATGGTAGGTATACAACTTCGAGCAAAATAGAAAACTGGCCAAACCAGCCCATTGTTTATTCAACATTAACGCTAAATTATGATACTTTAAGAAAGAAGGCAATTTAAAAATATATGTTGACGCAAATATGACACCTGTTGCTGTACCAGAGTTTGTATCAGAACTGTGGATCCTTAGTAATAAAAGTCATCGATGAGCTGTTTGCAGTTTAGGCAAAGTTGCTACTATGCTGCCATCTTGTGGTAAACTGAGGGAATAACACCAAAAGCATCTTTGTAGGAGCCATTTTAAGGGTGTTGTTGGTATCTCAGTTTACCTTATTTATATTGATAGTGCAATACTATTTGGAACACTTTGTGGCGGGGTTTAGCTGCACCGGGTGTATAAAAGGGGTCACAGGTGACAGGAAAGGATGAGGACACAGGACACAGGAGGAAGAGCACACCGATTCCACTTATTGTAATGGCAATTTTAACTGTTCCAATGTCCTATATTCTTTGCCATTACTTCACAGGAGGGTTTAGAGTGATCCAGACGCAGACACAAACAGATGATTTCCGGTCTTTTGCTGCATTTTATAATAATGTTTATTTAGCTTTACATACCAAGGTTTAATTATACCGTGTCAATAGTTGTGGTATGAGCATCTGCCGGGCTGGTGGAATCGGTGTGCTCTTCCTCCTGTGTCCTGTGTCCTGTGTCCTCATCCTTTCCTGTCACCTATGACCCCTTTTATACACCCGGTGCAGCTAAACCCCGCCACAAAGTGTTCAAAATAGTATTGCACTATAAATATAAATAAGGTAAACTGAGACACCAACAACACCCATAAAATGGCTCCTACACACCGGCCCCTAATTGGCTTTAGTATGAAACAAAAACAATTAACAATAAATAATAAAGGAGCTATGAAAAATAAAAATGGTGTGTTCTATGTGTTGGTATTTAATTCTTAATAATTGTTCAGTTTATTTTCCCTTATTTTAAGGGTCATCAGTCTTTGCTGTACTTTATGTGTCAGCCTCTTGGAGTAGACGTATCATGATTTGCAGTTCTTAGGTTGAAACAGTCGTGTTGCCATCCCGTCCAGCGCTGAGAGAACCTGTGGGTTATATTTTCACCCAATTCCAAACCTCTATTCCAGGACAGAAGACAAATATTCCTTTGAGGACAATAAACCAAGTGAAGCTGGCAACCAGTCATCACATTTCAAGTTTGGAAGTATCTACTCTTGACAAAGACAATTTCAACCAACAACCTGATGTGTTCACACACAAGACCAGGCCTGTTTCCAAGCACACCATTCCTGTTCAAGAGGACCTGACACAAAGGCCTTACTTGAAAGACAACAATATTCAATCAATTGACTCTGGCATTGACCTACTCATTGGGACAAATGCATCCAAGGTACTGGAACCTTGGGAGCTAGTCAACAGCCAGCGAGATGGACCATACTCACCCTACTGGGGTGGGTCATTGATGGTCAACTGAGAAGAAACAACATCAAAATATAACCCACAGGTTCTCTCAGCGCTGGACGGGATGGCAACACGACTGTTTCAACCTAAGAACTGCAAATCATGATATGTCTACTCCAAGAGGCTGACACATAAAGTACAGCAAAGACTGATGACCCTTAAAATAAGGGAAAATAAACTGAACAATTATTAAGAATTAAATACCAACACATAGAACACACCATTTTTATTTTTCATAGCTCCTTTATTATTTATTGTTAATTGTTTTTGTTTCATACTAAAGCCAATTAGGGGCCGGTGTGTAGGAGCCATTTTATGGGTGTTGTTGGTGTCTCAGTTTACCTTATTTATATTTATAGTGCAATACTATTTTGAACACTTTGTGGCGGGGTTTAGCTGCACCGGGTGTATAAAAGGGGTCACAGGTGACAGGAGGAAGGAAGGAAGGACAGGAGGGACACAGGAGGAAGAGCACACCGATTCCACCAGCCCGGCAGATGCTCATACCACAACTATTGACACAGTATAATTAAACCTTGGTATGTAAAGCTAAATAAACATCATTATAAACTGCAGCAAAAGACCGGAAATCATCGGTTTGTGTCTGCGTCTGGATCACTCTAAACCCTCCTGTGAAGTAATGGCAAAGAATATAGGATATTGGAACAGTTAAAATTGCCATTACAATCTTTGTTAAGCCCTAACAAAATAATTTCTACTAATTATGATTTATTTAAAGGGCATTGTTAGCTCACCCTCTCCAAATTCATTTAATATGACAGCAATCCGCTTGTTGTGTTGTTCTGTTAGGATATAGTTCAGGAGTGTCGTCTTTCCAGCACCTACAGAGATACACATGGAAACGATAAAGAGATATAACAAAATGTATTCCAATTTAGGAATGCACATAGACTGCAATTGTCTAAAGCAAAATTGGCCAAATGTCCTCCAAATATCTATCGATCACTATGGAACATCACCATCCATTATATCACATAATTATGTTTTATTGGCATATGCTTATTAAAATTATTTTCTGACATGCTGGAAATATCTATACACAGCAGGATCTCTTAATCAATCAATATGGCAAAAACATGATATATCACGAGACATAATATAAAATGTCGTGCCATAGGACTGTGCTCTCACATTGTACATGTATGATGGTGCAACAGGTTAGGGTTTATAATGGGATGGGATTTTGGTAAAATGTATCAAAATGTATTTGTTAAAATGTGTTTAAAATGTCTTACTTCTTCAACATTAAAAATACTTTCACCAGAACAAAACAAAAATTAAAATGGTGAGGAAGTGTAAAGCAAATTAATCATTAGGTTAAGAGAAACCCTGGTCCAGGACCAAGCGGATTTTGATTGTTATGAGGATGGACTGACAGATTTTTTAGACACTAATGCCTTTTGCTAGCTTGTTAAATCCGTGTGTCATACAGACAGTCTCTCACCGAGGTATCCTGAGATGATGGTGACAGGGATCTGCTCTCCAGGACCAAGCGTGGTGACGATGGGCACCAACTCTGGGCAGTCATCCTCCTCCTCTATCACCATGCCGTCCATACCAGAAGTTATGTTTGGATCTGTTGAATCAGCACGTTTTATAAATCACTGCATTGATAGGATTACACAAAAAACAGAGGAAACAATCATCTTTCAAAATGACCGTACACGTAAAAAAAAATGCATTGTGATAATAGTCTGATTGCATTTAGGAATGGTATCAAATATTCAACAAATAAAAAGACAAATCACCTGAAATCAGTTCATAATGGATACAAATCTGTACACGTTTGAACAACACACACAACGTTAAGATAATATCAACTCTCTCGCCATATAATTAGCGGTTAGCATAAGAGTGTGTTTACTGATTAAGTACATCCAACGTGGATATAATTCCCTTTTATATGCGCCACGACAGCAAAATAAGCCACCCTTCATTCATTTACAGAGGCAGTACACAACATTACCCGACAGTTCTTGTTATAGATGCAGATGTTCAAAGTTGTATTCAAAATGCTCACTTCTGCAATGCTGTCGCTTTACGTTTTGACAGTGTGCGACACAATAGAAGCTCCGTCAACTCCTGAAGCTGCGGCAATGGTTCCGCTTTCATTCACAACACTCGTGACTCGAAACACTTCTGGATGTATATGCGGACAAGCTTTTTACCGGACCGGAATAAGACTTTAAATAATAACATTATATAAGTATAGTTATTATAAACAATTGCAGCTTGACAATCAATACGCATAGGTTTTGTTTCCCTTCGTCCCAGCTGCAGTTTCGCAGAGCAGATGGATGTTTTTGTAATGACAAGTATCTACCAGAAGAGGGCGACATAAACCCGTTTATAGCAGATGTATAACTTTATAAAGGGAATACAGGCTACCAGAAATACCCTTACACTAACAACATAGTTATCCTGCAACACTTTTACGTTTGTTGACACTGTAGTAGTATTATTGTGTCACATCAATAGCCTTTGTCGTGTGTTACTATATATCCAAATATAGTACCACAGAACTGCAGTCCTGTTTAAAGAACAGGGTAGCCTTCAGTATGCCATGTACCAAAGAAAGTTAAAATAATTAAATCATTCTCTTACAATAATAGTGCAATACAGAGCATTATAATGATGTGCATGTAATTTACATCGTGGCTATTCCAAGAATGAATACACTTCAGTTTCCCTGCTGAGGGTATTGTTGTTAAAGTTATATTCAGATAAAAAGGGCTGCACAATATCTATAAACATGTCTTATCTGCAGTGTGTGTAAATGTATTAATGTTTCATGTTAGCCTGACCAAGGGTGTAACTTTGGTTTGAGAAGTGGGGGGGGACACAAAACAGGGGGTCCTCCGCAATGAAACATTTTTCTCAATTTAATTCAATTTCCTGCCTTTCTACGAATATATTAGGGACTATGGTGTTAAAAAATCCAAGAAAAATGTGTAGTATATATAATGAGGAGAAGATGTTTGTCTTTAAATTGAAGTTAAAAGCATCAATCTGGTGCACTTTGAGAGCAAAATTAAGAGATTTATGGATACAGCTCTCAACACTCATATAAAACAGAACTGTATACATTTCAATATTCCAAAAACCATTAGAATATGCTCACAACCAATAACACATAATTGATATACTCCTCTCTCCTATCTTAAACTTACCTAGTCTGCATTCTTTCTTTTTATGTATGCATATTTTACTAATCACTCCCCTTTTAAACTGTGTTTTTTAATTTTTTACTGACATTGGAATGATTTCTTAACTTATTTTGAACAACTATATTTAATAGATGGAAATATTTGTTTACATAGATGACCAAACTGTTTGAGACCCACTGAGATAACTTAGACTAAAGTTTACAATCTAATCACTCAGCGAGTCCTTTACATCGGCTAAACTGACGTTATCTCAGCCTCTCAGTCTTAATAAACACATTTGAAAAGTGGGGGGGACACAAACGGGATTTTGAAAAGTGGGGGGGACATGTCCCCCCTGTCCCCAGTGGAAACTACGCCCATGAGCCTGACTCCATATAGCATACTGTATACTATCTTATTCAGTATACGTTTCCATTATTTATGTTTGTTGGAGATTGTGAGCAAAAACCTTTCTCAGTAAAAAGGTTGAAATTAAATAAAGATAACTAAAACAAATGTAAAAGCTATCTATAAAACTAAACAAAGGGAACCCCAACCTAAAAGTACTTTGGCATACACAGAGGCATACATATTACAATCCTATATAATTTAGCCATTAAATAATACCTACTTTTTTTAAAAGAAAAAAAACAGGAAAGTTCCTGAAAAAAGTTTTTTTAACTAACACCATTACTGCTTACGAAAGACGTGAACATTACAGGTCTGTCACATTACACCCTTCAGTGATGATGCAAAAGATGTTGAAACAAAGGTAGTGCAATGCCTAAAGAGTCTAAGGGAAGGGCTCATAAGATACTTTTATTTTTAAAGTTAAAATTATTAACAGATTTATAATTCACCTTTGTTTCAACCTCTCTCCTAAAAATCCCCAATCATACCTGTGGAGGAAGCTCTCAGCCTTTTCTTAACATGTTGAAAAAGACATGTCAAGCCTGAATATCCAAGTCAATAACAAGTCCATCATGTTTACTTTTTCACAATTTTATTTGCCACCAAATACTAATGTTTTTTGAGCTGGTTCAACTTTAACTTGCAAAAAAACAACTGATACAGCGTCAACAGTAATATTGTCATCAATCAAAAGAGCTTTGACACATGTGACTTATTGTTGTTAGACCAGGGTTGCAGTCGAATAGTCCATTTAGCTTAGGAACCTTCCTAACGGAGTGAAATGACCCGGAAGTCCCTCAGTGGCAGCTATGATAAGTGCCGTTCGAATTCTGTAGATCAGTGGTTCTCAACCTTTTTACACCAAGTACCACCTGAGAAAATAGTTGGCTCTCCAAGTACCACCATATGACCAATGTTAAAATACAGTCTATGCACAGTTCATGCAGGACTCTGAGGCACATTTATTCATAATAACATTATTTATTGTCAGCCACAGCTACATGTACAAAGGGCAGTCTCTCTCTCTCTCTCACTCATCACTCACTCACTCACTCACTCACTCACACACAAGTGAGAATATAAAGAACAAAATAATAACTTATTCTCACACAACAAAGGACAACTGTACATACATGTCATTTCCTATACCAAAGTTTGAATGTAGGCCTCCTGCAACAACCTACATTGTAACAGAAAATGTCCTATTGGGAATTCAGTTCCACATTAATAATGAAAGCCTCCAGGAGCAGATGAGCCTAAGGGCTAATAGCTCATCTTCAGTCTGCTGATGTTTGCAATTGACATTTATGTGGTGGCAAAGTAAAAAAAAAGAAAAAAAAAAGATAACAATTAAGGACAAGTGTGTGCTTTTTCAGCTTTTGACCTCGGTCACAGCCTTCTCTCCATTCTTTGCGCAAATGCCTTCTTCCTGAGTCACTTCTCTCCTCCATCACAGCGTTGTGGCTGTGCATATCACTTTTGCGTTGCTGGCGGAGCCTGCGCTTGTGCTCGGTTGATGACTGTCCTCCTCCTCATTCACTTGTTCACTTTCGCTGGTAATATTCTCCTCTGTACCTCTCTTCCGAATACCTTCCGTTTTGAGCCACGTTTTTAACATCATTCAGCTTTCTTCTTTCTTTACAGTAGCTTGCTTGCAACGTTCGCTAATCGTTCGCGGGTAGTATGGTCGTCATGCAACGCCAGAAATAAATTTAAAAAGAAATGTCATTTCTAAATCTAAAAACAACAATAGCCTATTAGAACTTATTTAAACCACAGTTTATATTATCTCAAGCTTATTTTCATTCGTTGTAGTATTTTGATAGTAGGCCTACGATTTATTTTGTAATTAATGTTACTCAATCAAGCCTCAAACTGATGGCACTTGTCCCTGTAGTCTGTTTTAAATTGAAGTTGTCTGAGGTCCTTACCACCAGCTGCTCTTGCAGTAATAAGTAGTGTACCTTACTGTCCCAAATGTGCACAATGTAGTGACTGCTTTTCGTCTTTTTGTTTACTTAGTTGTGTTTTCTGTATTTTATATGTCTGTGTTGTTATGTGTAAGAACGTGTAACGTTGCTGCCTTCTTGGCCATGCAGGTCAGTATTGTAAATGAGATTTTGTCTCAATGTTTTCATCTGGTTAAATAAAGGTTAAAAGTCCCATGTCATGGCCATTTCTACTGATCATAATTCCATTGTTGAGGTACACATTACATTACATTGCATTTAGCTGACGCTTTTATCCAAAGCGACTTACAATAAGTGCATTCGACCAAGAAGATACAAACTTGAAGAAAACAGAATCATATAAGTACATCAGGTTTCATAGAGCCAAAACATTTCAAGTGCTACTCAACTGGCTTTAGATAAGCCAGTCCTTTATTAGTATATAAGTGCTTTGTTAGAAATTCTTTGTTAGTAATTTTATTGCTCGAAGTGGAGTCGAAAGAGATGAGTTTTCAGTCTGCGCCGGAAGATGTGTAGGCTTTCTGCTGTCCTGATTTCAATGGGGAGCTCATTCCACCATTTTGGAGCCAGGATAGCAAACCGACGTGTTTTTGCTGATGGGAACTTGGGTCCCCCTCGCAGTGCTGGTGCAGCGAGCCGTTTGGCCGATGCAGAGCGGAGTGCACGTGCTGGGGTGTATGGTTTAACCATGTCCTGGATGTAGGAAGGGCCAGATCCATTCACAGCATGGTACGCAAGTACCATTGTCTTGAAGTGGATTCTAGCAGTTAGGAGGGAGTTGCAGTAGTCTAGGCGTGAGATGACGAGAGCCTGGGCCAGAACCTGCGTCGTTTTCTGGGTCAGGAGGGGACGTATCCTCCTGATGTTGTAAAGCGTGCATCTGCAGCAGCGGGTTGTAGCAGCGATGTTTGCAGTGAAGGACAGTTTGTTATCTAGGGTCACACCCAGATTCCTTGCAGTCTGAGTCGGGGAAACAGTAGAGGTGCCGGTGTTGATTGTTAGGTCAAGAGTGGGACAATCTTTTCCCGGAAGGAAAAGCAGTTCAGTCTTGTCAAGGTTGAGCTTGAGGTGGTGAGCAGACATCCACTGAGAGATGTCAGCAGAGATGCGTGCGACGACCTGGGTCTCTGAGCGGGGAAAGGACAGAATTAATTGGGTGTCGTCAGCGTAGCAGTGGTATGAAAAACCATGCGGGCTAATGACCGATCCGAGCGAGTTTGTGTACAGAGAGAAGAGGAGGGGACCAAGAACAGAGCCCTGAGGGACCCCTGTAGTTAATTGACAAGGGTCGGACTCGGACCCTCTCCAAGTTACCCTGTAGGTACGGTCTTTGAGGTATGAGGTGAGGAGGGAAAGTGCAGAGCCTGAAACACCAAATTCTTGGAGAGTGCGAAGGAGGATCTGATGATTCACCGTGTCGAATGCAGAAGACAGGTCCAAAAGGATGATGACAGAGGAGAGGGAGGCTGCTTTAGCCATGTGCAGTTCCTCAGAGACAGCGAGGAGGGCAGTTTCTGTTGAGTATACAGTTTCTGTTGAGTATACAGATTTATATTGTGCAATTTTCCAAACTCACATTGGTTTTTTTCTCATACAGCATCTCTGTATAGTATGTGTATTCACTCTCTGTCCTACACGGCTTGTTGGAGCTCCTGCCCCCCCGTCCTTGTGAGCCCACTGTGCTCTGATTGGTCAGCTCGCCCACTCTGTTCTGATGAGTCCACCACTGTTACAGCG